TCAAAAAATAAACTTTTTTAAAAAAGTACCTAAAAATAGCTGTAAACCACAAAATGGATCCAGCTCTTTGGAAGCCATTACATTAATAGGTAGGAAACTCTGAGTGTGCTGGTGTCTCTTGAGGCCTCCACAAACAAATCCAATGACTTATTTGTGCCTCTGAGTAGCACATGCAGCATAATACTCATCAATTTATAATGGTCTGGAGTTTTTTAAGCAACATGATGAAGAGCCTGATAAAAACACTAAAGAGAATAAAAAGATGATGAAAATAGGAAGGCAGTTTTCTCAATTTCATGACCCATCTGTGATGCTTTTTTGAGATGTTTTGATGAAAAGATCTGATGAAATTTGTATTTCTGTGTATGATGCTACTTGGGCTTATGTATGTTAGGGTTTAAAATGATTCCCAGATCTTTCCTCCCTTCCAGATGTACTGCTGAATTATTTCAAGTGTGCCATGATGAAATATTATGAAATGTTGTTGCTGGGAGCAGGAAACCTTTTTTCTTCCCTTTATTTTTAATTAGGCAAGGTTATTTCATGACTGAAAGTACTTAATCTTGTTAAATAAACCTGAGAATCTCTAACAATGCTCTTTAGATTTTATGATAAAATACAGGTTCTAATCCAAGACATGTTAATTACCCTTAAACTTAACAAGGGTATGCATATTTCATTAAATCGTTTTAAATTCAACAGGAGAACTATTGGGAAGCTACACCCAGTGTCTCTTGCTTTTTCATTGTATGTCTATTGTGGGAATGATGCAATTTGACTTTTAAACTAAAGCCTAGGCTGTACTCCATGATTTTGGGGAGTTGTGATTATACGTATTTAACAAAGCAGTGGAATTTCAGAGCACAACTGGGACTGTTCCTTTGGGGAGGGCTGGCCTGTGGATTGATTTCATACTTGTTGAAACATTCCCGATGACTAAAAGTGATTGCTTCTTGAATTTAAGCCCACTGATTTAAAAAAAAAAAAAATTTAAAAATAAGGTTGTCTTATATTTTAATTTTTTAATACGTTTGTCCTGTGCTGTATAAATGGTGGCCGTAGGGGAATTATAAATTGAATGTTTCCTTTAAAACTGCTGCTCCTCAAAAGCTGATTTTGTGAAGGTATTTATCTACAACAAGCCCTGCAAGTTATTAGCTGGATTTCATACCCCAGGGGCAGCGTGCAGGATGGCCTGGGTCACAAGAGTTGTGATTCAGGGTTTTATTAGCATGAGTAACGTGTGACCTCCTCATGACCTGATGCACACATGAGCTCTGGGCTGCCCTGACCCCCGATGGGATGGAATTCCAGGTGTGCTGCAAACTCTCCAAAGGGAAATTCCCGCACTCCTGCTCAGAGGCTGGAGGTGCTGAACAGCTGTGGCTGCATCCAGATGTTTACAGGAATGGGGCTGGCACTGACTTGGGTGCTCTGGGGAGTTACCCCTTGGAAAAGCCATCGGTAGAGGTGGTGTTTGAGGAGCTGCTGCTGGTACCACTGGCGTGGTTCTGGTCACGTTGTCCAGCTTTCCTGGCAGGCTGTGTCCCCATGTCCTGAGTCTGCTCCTCCTGCTCTGTGCCCTCAGGGAACACTGCCCTGATACCTGCAGAGCCCCAAATGCTCAGGAATATTTGTTCTTCCTCCTGAAGGTCACTGGGTACCTTCTGTTCCAGTTCCATCCCGAGTGAATCATTTTGCTTCACAGAAATTTGAAGGGAGGATGTGAGAGGACTTGCTGCTTCCAGACCAGAGTGAAATCTATCCTGAGTGTCTTGGAATTGGTGATTAATTTAAGCAAATAAAGGCTGTAGTGGAGATGCTTTTTGTATGCCCTGTCCCTAGTTCGAGTTTCTGTGCCAGGTATCTGAATCTGACTGGTTTAAGCATTAAAATGGGTGAAGTGCCTGGAGAAAACACATATGTTGTGTTCACTTACGTCAAGTTAGTTGGGAAAGTAATTCTTAACAATCAAAGAAATGACACTGAACAGTTTAAAACATGGAGGTTCCAGAATGTTCTCCAAAAAGCTTCTCTAAAATAATGAGCTCTTCATCCAAGGCCGTGGTCTTCATGTGAAGGATTCAGCCCAGGACGAAGTGTTTGTGTCTGGCCTGGCCAGCCATATGTACCAATTAAAGGGAAGGGGAAGAGCTCCAACTTCTTAAAAACAACACAAACTGCCCAAATCAAACCAACAAAACTATGTCTGTTTGTGGGTGGTGACTGCAGGGGAACTTGAGCACCTTCCTTCCTTCAAGCTCAAAAGGTTTCTTACTCAGGACAGTTATCAGCTGAATTTATCTCAGAATTTCTTCCTTTACGTTGTATTCCAGGTTTTGGAGAGACTGAAGTGATGAAATGGGGCTCTGTGCTTGCCATTCTTGGGAAAATAATTCTGGTGTGAATTTATCCCCCTCAAAATAGGCATCTAAAAATGGGTGCATGAGCCATGTCATGTTCCTCCTCCTCGGAGTGGAATCTGCTGCTGGTCCACCCTGTTTCCTGTAGTTTGTTTTTCTGCATGGAGTGGAAAACTTTGTCCTTGTTTTGGGAAGTACCCTGATGTAGTTAGGAACTAAAATTAACGTTGTGAGTTTCTGGGCACATTTGGAACAGCCCTAGGGTGCTGTGAGATGCAATTCAAACTGGGTTTTCACAAGCCACACACACTCTGTTCTCAAGTTTATCTCCTTGACTGACATAATTTTAGATCCATGGATTATTTGGAGATGTCAGTAGTTTAGCTCTTCTTAAAGGTGCTTCCAGTTGTGTTTTGTTCTTTATATTCAGGTCAAGGTGTTTTCTGTTGTTATTAATACAGCACCTGGAAGTTGTAAGTGGTAGGAGAGAACCTTTGTCCAAACACCTCTAGCAAAAATAGTTAATTCATTGTTTTAAATGGGAGGGTTGCTTAGCACTGAGGAAACTCTGCTGTCTGAACAGAATGCTGATCTCCCAAACCCTCAAAATCTGGAGGGTTTTACTTGTCACTCCTCTAAGTCACTGCCAGTGTGATTAATGGTGTTTCCTTTTGAGGTCTTCAGGACATGCAGAGTCTCAAATGCTGCTTTACAAGGATGAAAAGCAGAAATCAGGCTTCTAATAGAAATTATTTCTTGGTGTATTAATTCAGCTCTTTGGTAATGAGAAAAGGACCTGCTCAAATTGACCATACCTTGACCTTGAATGTTTTCTACTAATGGCACTCAACTCTGACAGTGTTCTGCCTTGGTTTAAACCATTTTAATTCAGTTTCCACATATCTAGATGAGAGTTGTGATGTTAAGGATCTGTGACCTTGCCAGCCTAAATGAAAGAGGTGTAATGTGTATCTGTGGTGTTTCACACTGTCCAAAACCCAGACTGTGGCTCTGGTGCTGGGGTGGTGTCTGCAGAGGGATCCTGTAGCTCACTCGGTGATCATGTTCATTCAACACAACTCTGGTTGCTGTTGATACATTTTCCATCCTAAGTTTTTTTTTCATATTCATTACTGGGAAATAATAACCCTGCTGAGCAGATTTACCAGGAAGATTTACTTGCCTCATTACTCGTGTCTGCCCTAATTAGAAAATGACATTATTACTTAGGGCTTAACTCTAAGTATTGACATTTAGCCTCCCATTTTAAATACCTTGAATACTGGAGCTGCACAGCCTTTCTTAATGGCAGAGAGGTTCATTTGACTGGAGATGGATAAACTGTTTTCTCCATCAGTTTGTTTTTATTTTTTTAGAGCCAGCTGGATTTTTCTGTTGGCTGAAGAATGCCAGACCTGAAATGCTGCATTCTTTGCCTGTCTGCAGGGCTGTAGTAAATATAGCACCTTTGGGTGAGGCCAATCAGCTGAAAATGAATAATCATTTCATTCATCTGGCTTTTGTTTATACTTGAGATATTTTTTATTTAAAAGCAAAGCAATGCAGAACCTTTTTTTTGGTGCTCTTCAAATAGCCTCTTAACAGCTCAATACTATTGGCTGTGGTGAGATAAAGTAACAAAAATAACATTTTTCGTAATGTTAACTATTAACAGGAAGATTTCTGCTCGTTTATTTTTTGTCTAATAAAGGAGAGCATGAGTTAGTGTGTCATTAAATCAGGTGCCTATTAATTCAGATTTTGGCAATGTATTACACTCTGCTTAACTTGGAAGCGTTTCTGCTGTGCATGTAGCTACAGGGTAAGAATTGCCATGAGTTCAGGCTATTCCCAGCTCTCCCTGTGTCCCACTCCCCTCAGGGGACAGCAGTGGCTCTTTGGGGGTGTCCCCACACCCCTGGAGTGGGTGGCTGCAGTGGGGGATGTCCCTCACTTTGACCTGATTGCAGCTGATGGGGCTCACTGCCTGGCACTCCTGTTCCAGCTTTTCATTGCTCATACTCTCCCTGGTGGAATTCAGCAGTGTCTGACCTACTGATGTGCCCAGGAGTTTCCCTGGAATCTTGTGTATCATCAGGTAGAACTCAGAGAGTCAAGTAATGGACACAGGCATGTCAGCTTCTGACAGAATCATGGAATGGTTTGGGGTGGAAGGGACCTTAAAGCCCATCCAGTTCCATCCCCTGCCATGGCCAGGGACACCTTCCACCATCCCAGGGGGCTCCAAGCCCTGTCCAGCCTGGCCTTGGACACTTCCAGGAATGGGGATTTTTTTTCTGAACTTTGTCCTTTTTAAACATGATCTAAAAAGCAGGGTCTGAGAGGGAACTTACTGTGCCCTAGCAAGCTTAAGAGTCATTATAAAAGTCAAAGAACTTGGCAGTTAACCTCTTTTCCTGGTTTTCTGTCCTCCAGTGATGTACAGTCCAAAGGCTTTGGAGCACAGGAATTGCTAATCCTCACCTAAAGACACACCATTAGCATTCTCAGCCAGTTCTTCTTGTGCTTCCCCTGTAGTCACTGGCCTTTACTGGGTGTGGTGTTTTTGTGTGTTAGAATAAGGTGTAAAACTTCAAAATCATGTTTCTAAATCCAGTTCCTTGTTTTTCTTTGCAGAATAGGAGAGTCTAGAGGGCTGGGAGCACGGGACAATGCTGCTGGAAGGAATGTGAGCCACGGAGCATGGTTGGTGCCACAGCAATCCAGGTGGGCTCCTCTCCCTGCACCTCTCCTTGCTCCATCACTGACCCTCAGCCAGGGAAGCTGTCTCAGCACCAGGCCAAAATTCTGCCATCCACAAGGCACTTGAAGTCCAAAACCTTCTAAAGCCTTTTTTATATGTGTTTTAGTTTCAAATTTATCTGGTTGTTGTTACATTTCAGCTGGGCTCCCATTAAATGTTGCCCTGGTTTGTATCGTGGTACAGGCTGAAGGTCCTGGTGTGTGTTTGCAGGAGTTTGTTGTGCACAGACAAGATGTTGCCTCAGTAAAGGAGCCAAAATATGAGTAAAGGCCCCCCATCAGTGCTTTGCATATGAGTACTTAATGAGTCAATGCAGATTTTTCAAGATGTTTTATTAAGAAATGGAAAACTTCCTGATATATTAGGATGTTTCTTCCTTTTTCCCTTCCCACACAAATAAAATTTTGGGGACAAATACTGAAAGTCTTCATTAAGATGCAGCTCAGCTCTGTGCTAAGGAAAGATTTAGGGAGGCAAAGATAGGCCTTATAGGATGGAGTTTAGGATTCTTCAAAAGCAATTCCATGTGCTGGGAGCAATCACAATCCAGTAGCACTGGCTGTCATGCAGCTCTGAGTAAATAAATAAATGAGAAATAACAATTACATGGCTGCAAAGTGTTCCTGTGGCAGCTGACTTCCACCAGCACCAGCTGGGAATTGGGAGTAGAGAAACAAAACAAACAGCCCAGGAAAGTAGGAGGAACAACAGAGAGAGTCTAAAAACTGACACATTGGGAGCCTGGTGTGAAGAATAACAAACTCCTGCCACAGGATGTTTTGCATAGCAACAGGACTCTTGAATTCAAGTGGACTTCAGTGTCACTGCAGCACTTGCTTCCTGTATGAGATAAAGAGCTGTTGTATCTTGAATGCATTTTAATCTCTCTATCTAAATAGGACTAATAATTAAAAAGAATTAGCTGGAGGGAGGAAGCGATGGTGAAGCCTATTGCTGCTGGAAGTGTTTCCTCTCGTGTTGCTGTCAGAGAAGTGTGAATAGAACCACGTGCAGGGGAAGCAGATTAAAGATGAACTTTCCCAGCAGGTGCTGAGAGCTGTCTGCAAAGGGCTTTGTCCATGAAGGAAGGAATTGGCTGGGACTTGAGAGCACAAAGCAGTTCCTAACACGCTTCAACATGCGCAAAGGGGTGCCAAAGGACCCAGAAATAGCTGACCTCTTCTACAAAGATGATCCTGAGGAAATATTCGTGGGTTTGCATGAAATTGGACATGGAAGCTTTGGAGCAGTTTACTTTGTAAGTAGAGTTCATTCTTTTTTGGAGAGCAAAATAATTACAAGTGACATTTTAGAGGCTTTTGAACATTCGTAGAAGGAGGCATTCCTTGAGGTTTTAGTGCTTTGTGTGCATTAGTTTGGTGATAACATACATCTCAAAAAGAAGTGTTTCCAAACCATTCCTCATCTCTTTAATGTTCTAGCTGTGTTTATAGTAGCAGTTTAATATAGTCTTAATAATGCACCCAACTATCCAGGTCAAGTATATGGTGTTTGATGCTGAAAGTTGAATTTAACCAGCTGAAAATTAATTTGCCTAGTTGGAATTTCAAGATACTTGGAGTTCCTATTCCTATTCCTTGGAAATCTCTACAAATTCCTTTATGGCAAAAGCAAAGAGAGAGTCTTCAGAGGAATGGGAATTCAGGCAGGCAGGATGTGTGACACTCATTGACACAGGCAAGAGAATTTAATCTGGAAATTAGAAAAATGGTGCTTTTACAGTTGGTATCAAACAAAGCCAAATCCCAAGTACTGGAATTGGAAATAATTATAATCCAGTTGGCATTAGTGAGACTGAAATAGAATCAATATAGAAAAAATCAGTTAAAGCCCAATTAAAGCTGCATTGGAACCATGGTCAACCACTCAGGAGGATCAGGTTCACTGAACTGGGTTTCTGAATATCAGATAATAAAGTATTAAGATACAATCCCTGACACCTCTAGCTTGGCCATAGGTAGCATGAGTTATTTTAAGCATTCCAATTCACTGTTTGGAGTTGTATGAAGTGGTGCAGATGTTGGTGAAACTGTTGTAAGGAGAGGAGCCTAATTTTTTTGTCATGTAAGTATTTCATGTGTATTTTGAGGAAAAATAATATAATTTCTCAAGGTATCATCCCAAACAGGCCCAAAACTGCCTCAGCACATGGCTGTTCCCCAGGTGTGCTCACACAGCCCTGGCAGTTGTCTCAGCCAGGAGCATCCCAAGCTCTTGCAGCCAGAGCTTCCCCCACAGCTCTGGGGAGGTGGCAGTGTGTCCTTCAGTGATCAATCCCAGCTGGAAGGACAGACACGTGGTCAGGTGGAGCTGCTTGGAATTCATGTGACAGGCAGAAAGAAAGCATAAATACATCTGACTAAACCACTCTTGATCTTCTCTGTGCTGAATCAGGCTGGCAAGTGGTGGGGAAGGGCTTTGCCTTATCCCAGAGTTACTCATTTTCAGCTTTCTGTGCCTCATTTGAGGAGTGTGAGCTGTGAGGAGCCTGTGTCACCTCCCTTCAGTAATTCCTATGTCCCACTCAACACGGGTTTTCTTTGAAGTCCCCACAGGTCTCAAAAAATGTCATTAGTTAATACATTACTTAAAAGGAGGATTTACCACATTTAGCTCCTATTATAGTTTAAGCTTTTAACTGTCACTAATTTTTTTGTCCCAGAAATGGTTGGAGGTACAGAGATTTCAGCAACTGTTTTAAGACCAAAAGCTTGACATTTTTTACCCTTAACAAGCAGAAATGAGGGCAGTGCCAGTCCAGGCAAGGATAGATCTTTCCAAACCTGAGTTTTTAGCCTCTAATTACCATCCCTGCATCATCCAGGCTGCAGAAAAGTAAAATTTTGATGGCTGCATAATCTTCATTCAATTTGGATGAATTCCAGGTTGAATCATGTTCTTGAAGCTGGAAATTGAAATAACTATTTAAGAATGTCAGTGTTGTATGGAGATTTTGATACACCTCTTTATTTATTTATTTAGCAAACATTTTGCCAAAGATTCATCTAAAACTGTTTCTACTGTAATTCCAATAAAACTGTATTTTGAGGCTTCTCAGTAGGTGCAATATTGGGCCTTTTACATATCAATAGAGAAGTAGCACGAAGTGTGAGGAAGGAACAGTGGATATGGCCAGATAAAATCAGGGGAAAGTGTCCTAACAGTTGTGTGGTAAATCACATCCTGAGGAAGATGTCTCTGAGGTGCAGGACATTGCAAGGATATAGGAGAAAAAAGACACAGGCACAGCTCACTCCGTGGGGAGAGGGGAAAAAAATGAAGCTTTTTTCAATCTATTTCTTGCTTTTTTCAATGTTTCTCTTTCCCTACTCCAGGCTACGAATTCCCACACTAATGAGGTGGTGGCAGTCAAGAAGATGTCCTACAGTGGAAAGCAAACAAATGAGGTGAGAGGAGTAAAGGCAATTGTGCATTCAGGAGCTGTGGCAGCTCCAGTGGAAATCTGAGCAGTGGAATGAGCTCTGCTTTGACTCTAACAGAACAGCTTTTAATGCAGGAGCTGCTGCTCCCTTCCATGGGAATCGTGGAGGTTTGCAGAGAAAATGAGTTTATGCAAATTTTGACAAATGGTTGAGTTGAAGGAAGTGAGTGGGGACTCAGAATGCCTGGATGGGGCTTGTTTCAGAAATAATGTTATTAAGAAGTGTGTTAAGAGCACACTGGCCACTGGGCCACATCTCTCTAAAACTCTTGAGGATCTATCAAATTGCAAAGAGCTGCTAATTTCAGTCTCATTTCAGTTGTGTGTTAATGGTTCCTCTTATTTTTGTGTGGAACTTGGACCCACTGATCCTTTGGACTGGTGTGTGGATGTGCAGGGTGTGTTTGTTTGTTAAGAGCAAACAGGGGTGGTTTAAACTCATTTTTCCTTGCTTTTTCTCCCAAATGTCAGTGGTTCTGTGGTGTGTTACAGAAGGTGAGCAGCTGACTGCAACTCTCTGTAGTGGCTTACTAACTTTGAGGCCACTGAACACTTCAATTTACAAAGCAGCAGCATTTAAGTAAAATGTATCGCAGTTAAAATGAGGAAAAATTATTTTGGCAGTCCTAAAGCTGTTTAATATATCTTGAGGGTATCTCGGTGCAGGAGGGAGACAGAAAATTGATTTACAGCTGTGCTTTTGCAACACTGACTTTCTATCTTCATATTGTTAAATAGTTTTAGGGTCACTTTTCAGACTGTGTATGGTGCATGAATGGATGTAGAAGATTAAGAAGAGAAATGTATTTATACTTTTTGCTTTGTTTTTCCATTAGAAATGGCAGGATATCATCAAAGAAGTCAAGTTTCTCCAACAGCTGAAGCACCCCAACACCATAGAGTACAAGGGCTGTTACCTGAAGGAGCACACGGCATGGGTGAGTGAGGGGCACTTGGAGCAAATGGACACTGCAGCCCTCAAATCCTCAGCACAGGCTCTGAAATACCTTTGGGGTTGTGCTGAACACAACTAATAAAGTCAAATTTTGCATCTTTGGATGGAAAGCCAACCAAACCTACTACTTGACTTTTTTTTTTTCCTTAATCAGGGTGTTAAAGCCACCATGTGATTTAAATCTGGAATGTAAAGATGTTTCCTAATTTCAAAATGCTTCCAGAGATACTTGAAGGCATGATGTTCTCTTTTTTTTGCAGTTGGTTATGGAGTACTGTTTAGGATCAGCTTCTGACTTGCTAGAAGGTAAGTTTGATATATCTTGGATTTTCTTTTTGCCAGTGCCCCAGCCTGAGTTTGATGGGAGGCTCTTTCCTCACAGAGTGGGGTTTTGCAGATGGTGCAGGTGCTCTGTCTGTCCTGCTCCATTCCCTAGGAACAATTTGAGGCTTTCCCAGTGCTACAGATAGTTGGCATGCACATTTTAATTCTGTCAAATGAAGGTTTAAAAGTGTACGGGTATGTTCCTGTAATCTGTGCCTTTTTAGGATGCCTGGTCTGGGCATATCCATAATAAAATCCTGCAGAGATCACCTTTGTCCTTGCCTTGCAGTGTGAAGGAATAATTACAGATGGGTTTTTGAACAGGAGGTTGATGTGATCTCGACACTGGAAGAGCTCCTGCAAAGAAATAGGGGAATCTAAATCAAAATAGAGAATCAAAGCCAAAGTTTACAAAAATTAATGTTCCTCGGGGACCAAGATCACAGGATCACAGTTTGGGTTGGGAGGGACCTTAAAGCCCTCACAAGGAAAAATTCTTCCCTAATTTCTCTTCGTAGCAGATTGGTGGGATTCCTTTTTTTAAAAAACACCTTCTCAGGAAAATATCCCATTTATTTTCTTCTGATTTGTTTTATTTTCTTGATTTTCCCCCTGTAGTTCACAAGAAACCACTCCAAGAAGTGGAGATTGCTGCCATCACCCACGGTGCCTTGCAGGGGCTGGCCTACCTGCACTCCCACTGTAGGATCCACAGGTGAGGCTGGAGCTGCTGCCCTTCCATCTGCTGCTCCCTGCAGTCTCAAAGCTGCTTAGAAAGTTTTTCTGCCAACTTTGGAAAAAGTTACTCTACCAACATATTCTCTGCCTTGTTGGCAGTTGTTCCGTGCAGGCCCTGGCAACAAAGGCTACTCAGGAATACTGCACTAAACACTGATAGAAGAGTATCACCCTAAATGTGCCAAATAAATTGGAGTTCGCTGAGCTAGACTATTTCTAAGACTAGATAATTTTTCATATTTAAAGTGAATAAGTAAAACTGTATTGATTTTGCAAAGCCTGGTTTCTGGTAGCGAGGGGGTCACAGAGGTGTGATGGAATCACAATTAGGTGATGGAAGTGTAAGTCAAGGATAAAAATACCTGAAGAGAAATCCATGGAAGATGGCAGAGCCCTGGAAGAGCTGCCCAGGGAGGGTGTGGATTTTCCCTCTCTGGAGATATTCCAAACCCACCTGGTCATGTTCCTGTGTCACCTGCTCCAGCGGGGCTGCACTTGGTGATCTCCAGAGGTCCCTTCCAACCCCATCTACCCTGTGCTTCTGTGACCTGCATTTCATCCAAAGGGTGAAATTCCACTTTCTCCCTGCTGAGGTGGGAATCTCAATCTGCTCTCCCAGGACCGAGGAGCAGCGACACATCCATCCCTGCTTTTGTGGCTGCCCCGGCAGAGCAGGACAGGCAGCAGGGAGAGCCGGGCTGGGCGGGGAGCGGC